TTATTATTTTTCTAATATTTATTATTATTTTTATCATTATTTATTATTTTTTAAAAATTATACTTATTAAGATAATTTTATTGTAACTATTATTATTTACAATAAATAATATTATACTCATTTTTAATCTATAAAAGTATAAATTATATATTCATCTATTAAATTTTTAATTTTTATCTATCATTAAATTTAAAGTAAATATTTAAATTAAATTATTTTTAATTAATATTTTATAATTTTTTAATTAAAATTTATATATTTATCTTTTAACTAAATTAATTATAAATTTTTTTTAATTTAAGGGCAAAATAGTAATCTTACATAATTATCAATTAAAATTTTTTTTTATCTATCACATCAATCAATTCACTCACAAACTTTCACAAACTTTCTCTACACTTTCCACTCACTTTCCCTTAATCCAAACAACCTCACTTTCCACTCACTTTCCCTTCAAATCTTTCCTTTTCCACTCCCCCTTTTCCATCTTCAAATCCAAACAAACCCTAAATGATCGAGTTTCTCATTGTATGTTCTAATTGTAATTTACATGGACTAAAAAGTTATTTAAACATATATGAAAGAATAGTTGCAAATATATAAGATGGACTTGCGATCAATTTTTCAAAATAAAACATATGGCTTACCCAAAGAAAGTATGACAGTTGTTGGAATATAAACAAAGTTCCATATCGTTAGATCAAGCAAAGAAACAAAAGCTTATAAAACACACACATACTTCATCGGAGAGAGGCTTTTTGGATGATGATCAAAAGTAAAACTATGAAGAACTTAGATTCGAAGTGGACAAAATCTTACTATTGTGGAGTTATGTGTATAAATAATCAATAAAACAACAAACTATATCTTGTTCTTGATAAATATATATATATCTCAAACAAAAACAATGACCAAAAGTGTCATTGGTTTGATTTAGTGACAACCAATAACCCGTACAAAAAAAAAACAATGAAAACAAAAATAATGCTATACAAAGATAGATTTAGATTTAGTTGAATAAGGTTGAGTTTTTTTTTTAAAGGGAGGATTGTTGAGATATAAAATAAGGTCTTTTGTTTAAAGGGAGGATTGTTGAAATACAAAACAAAGTCCTACATCATTAGAACAAGAGGAAAAATAAGTTTATAAAACACACACATACTCCATTGAAGAAAGATCTTTAGGGTGATGATCAAAAATAAAATCACGAGAGACTTAAGTTTAAAACAAATAATATCTTACCAACATAGAGAGACATGTGTGGATATATAATCTATAAAACAAGATATAACCTGCCTTTTCATAAATATATCTCTCAACAAAATAATGTAACCTTATCTGACTATCAACAATTTCATGCTACAAGGTTAAAACTCTAAGTCCAACTAGATTAAACAAGAATGACAAGGTTATTACACTCATTTTTTTTATTAATTCAATTAAGACAGAACTAAATAAAAGAGAAAAGAATTACAATAAGACACATCAATTATTATGACATCTGCACATTCATTCTTCCACGAAGCCTCTTCCTTGCCCTCCTTGTCACACTTTTAATAGGCTGAACTTCAACCATCCTCACAAGCCATAGAGGTTTTCCCATTAACAATACACAACATCCTAAGGCCACCCCAAATACCATTCCACATCCATATCCTATGGCCACTGGTTTCCAACCAAACCTAAATTTCTCTTCACTCGAGAAGGTTGGTGAAGCCGAAGAACCTTGCTCACGGTTCATGTCACATTTAGTTGACAATGGAGGTCCACATAACCCCAAGTTTCCTTTATAAGACTCATTGGAAAATGTGTTGAGCTGTTTTCCTTCAGGTATTTCTCCTAGAAGATGGTTGTAGGAAAGATTCAAGACTGCAAGATAATTCAGATTGGTCAATTCCATAGGAATCCCACCAGTGAGCAAATTTGAGGAGAGATCTAATGATTCCAAATTTGTCAAATTTCCTAACTCACTAGGAATAGTGCCTATGAGTCCATTATGTGAAAGGTTGAGTCCTCTAAGTGCATTAAGATTTCCAAGAACATATGGAATCTTTCCTTCAAAATTATTAGCTGATAGATCCATAGTGACTAACATTGTAGGAATTCTTGTGACCACAACGTTGTTCCCTTTCATTGTTACAACCATGGAACTATATGCTTGGCTGTGATACTCATATCTATTACCATAAATAATGTACTCAAATTGGACATATTGTAAAGCACTGTCCAATTCAACAGAATTCTTCATGCCTTCAAAATTTTCTATGTAGCCAGTTGGTAATGGGCCACCGAAGTTGTTGCAAGAGATATCAAGAATTGACAAACTGGGAAATAAGTGCTTGGTCTTTGAACTGATAACGGGACCATAGAACTTATTGGCTCTTAAAACAAGCACTCTCAAATTTGGTAGCTTCTGAAGCCAACTGGGAAATGTATCTTTTAATTGATTGTTGCCAAGATTTAAAATCTGCAACTGCTTGCATTTGGACAAAGATGTAGGCAAAGGACCTTTTAGTTGGTTTCCACTGAGATTCAAATCACTAAGCTTGTTGTTTTTTGGAAAGCTAACTGGAAAAGGTCCATGAAGCTTGTTCATGTGTAGATCCAAAACTTGCAGGGATGATGAGTTTACAAGGCATGCTGGAACGGTTCCAATCAACTTGTTCTGTGACAAGTTAAGAATCTGAAGAGAACTTAAATTGCAAATTGAGGAAGATATGTCACCATTTAAAAAATTGAAACTGAGATCAAGGACACTGAGCCTGTAATTCCTTGAGAATTGGTCTATTGATGTTGTCAACTGGTTTTCAGAGAAGTTCAAAATTTGTAAAGAATCCATTTCATGCAACCAATTGGGGATTCTTCCGTTAAGTTTGTTATTGGATATATCAAGACAACTCAAATTGGGAAATTTTCCTTTTAAGTTAGGAAACTCAGTTAAATTGTTAGAAGATAACTCTAATACTTTTAGGCGGGGGAAGCTGTAATTGTCATTGGAATCAAAGTTTAAAGATAATAGACTATTGTCAGAGAGGATAAGAATTTCCAAATTCTGAAGTTTTGATAAGAAATGAATATGGAAAGTGCCAGTCCAATAATTTGATGATAGAGATAAGGCAGTTAGGTTTACAAGGTTAAAAATTGATTTTGGAATGCTTCCTTGTATTTGGTTACTGTCCAAAAGCAGAACTCTTAAAGAATTAGCTGAGATTGCATTTATATACCCTGTGAACTGATTATTTGATAGAGCTAAACCTTCCAATGATGTCAAAGAAAAACACCAAGATGGAATTGTTCCATTCAGCAAGTTGTTATTCAATCTTAAGCTAATTAAACCCTTAAGCCCCGTTATTTTGCTAGGTAGAGTGCCCTCTAATTTATTATAAGAACAGTTCAACACAGAAAGTTGAGTTGAGTCAAACAATGAAGATGGTATTTGTCCTCCTAAATTGTTATGACTAAGATCAAGAGTTTTCAACTTGGTTAGTCCACCAAAGACATTTGGAATTTGGCCACTGAATTTGTTGAATGAAAGATCCAAGTGAATGAGATTTTGAAGGTTTGAAAGTGAAAATGGCAGCTCACCTTGAAGGCCACTACAGCTAAGGTGAAGGCCAATCACGTGACCAGAGATGGGGTCGCACGTGACTCCGTGCCATGAGCAACAATCTGTCATGTTTTCCCACGTTGTTGTCTTTGGAAAAGACTGATTGCATGCACTGGAAACATAATCAGCTTTGCCAGTGAGAGAAGTCTTGAATTGAAGTAAGGCATGTTTCTGGTCTGAAAGACACAAGGGCTGGGAAGAATGAGAAGATGGGAAATGGAAGAGCAACAAGTGTAAACTCAGGGTAATTTGAAACAGCAACTCCATGAATTTGGTAATTAAACTTGTGAGGAAACAGCATACGTTTGCAAGAAGGGAAAAATAAGGTTGGAATGAATAAAGAGTAAGGAACTATGTGATGGATATTTATAGCTAAAGTTGAATAGATGATAATAGAGTTTGTGGGCAAAAATTTCAATAAGTTAAAATAAGATAGATTGTTTTGGGTTTAAATTAAAATCAAATTTTAATAAATTATATTTTATGGGTTATTTTAATTTGGGTTTGAAATTTTTTTTAGTCTTCCGATAGAGAATTTTAAAAATTCCAAAAAATTTAAAATTTTTATAATTGAATTATGTTGATTTGAATTTTTCATTATTTATTAAAATTAAATATTTTATTATTTGAATAAATCAATTCAAAATTTAAATTTTTAATTTGAATATGGAAATTTAATTTTTTTTAATCAAAATAATATATATATATATATATGTATATATATGAGGGAGAATTCACTTACTCAAAAAGTAATTTTACTTAAACTTATTTTATTAAATAATTCATATTTTACATCAAATTTTAAGGATTCAACCTTTAAATTAAAAGTTATTAATATAGATTAAATTTGCAAATTTGAAAACTATTTGATACTCCATTTCATCAATTTGAATTAATGGATAATCATAAAAGTATTTTATGCATTGATTTGAATTAATGAAATAAAGTATCAAATAATTACTCACTTGATATGTGCATTAAGAAACTTTAATTTAATGGTTGAATCTTTAAAATTTGATGTAGAACATGAGTTATTAAGTAAAATAAGTATAGGTAAACTTACATTTGGAGTAAGTGAATTCATCCTCTCTTTATCTCTCTCTATATATGTGTGTATATATATATATATGAGAAGGGTTCAAATGACACTGGTGTAACTTTTAATAAGTGTTACACCACTCAATAAATTTATATTAAATGCGAATTTTGAAAATCTAACCGTTAGATTGAAAGTTCATATCTCTTAGATCATATATGTTAAAGTTACACCGGTGTCGTTTGAACCCTCCTCTCTCTTTATATATATATATGTGTAGTTCTTGAACTTTAGTCAATTTTCACTTTTACTCCATCAACTTTTATTCCCATTAATATTTTGGTCCCAAATGCTAAGATTTGTTATTCATGGAAGAAATTTTAGGAACTAAAAATGAAAATCAACAAAAGTACAAGGATAAAAACATATTTAATTTATATATATATATATATATATATATATATATATCCATTTACTCTAAGAGTAAGTTTACTTAAATTTACTTCATTCAATAAATCATGTTCTACAATAAATTTTAACGATACAACTGTTGAATTAAAATTTATTAATGCATAAATAACGTGTATAAATTTTTAAAGAATTTGAAAACTATTTTATACGTCATTTAATTAATTCAAATTAACATATAAAATGTTCCTCATGAATATTCATTAACTTGAATTAATGAAATAAAATATTAAATAATTTTTAAAATTTTTAAAACTTTGTAAAATTGATCTAAATATCAAGAACTTGATCAATATATAACTTAATATTAAACAATATTTAATAATTTAATTAATATTCTTGAAATAAAATAATTAAAAAAATCTATTTATATTTTTTATTGAGTGAGATTAAGTTAGCCCAACAAATCTTGTCCATTCTGTCAGTTCTATAAGAAAGAGTTGAGGAGAAGAAATGATAGATAAAAGACATATATTGAGACAAGAAAAAAATATAAAAAAAAACTTCAATTTTTTTTAGAGAACTAGTATTTTAGTCTATACATTTCATAGGCTAGATGTTTATCATATATAATTAAAATTTATTAAATTATATATAAAATAATATTATATTTAAATATATGAATTATATTTAAAATTTATATAAATAAATATTTTTAATTTATAATTCACATTTTATATTAAATATAAATAATTATATTATGGAAAAAGATTATTTTTAATTATTGATTATTTATTTAAAATATTAAAATTTAATTCGTAAATAAATAAGATAAAAAAATTATAAAAAAAGTTCTAGAAACTCTTTTGATGAAGAATAACTTCTAAAAATATTCTCAAGTAGGATAAAAAGTCATATTTAATATATCGAAATTAATTTGAAATTCTATTATTTTGAAAATTTTCACAAATGCTTAAATCTTATTTTTTTTTATAAATTTTGTTAGCCAAACAAAATATTTCACCTCTAAATAATTTCAAATTCATAAAAGAAAATGAATCACTCTCTTGAAATTCACTATCCAAATACACTATAATTAATTTGATTAAAATAGAGTTGATTTGATTTTAATTATTAAATTGTGAAATATATATATATATATATATATATATATATTAATTTTAAGCTTTTATCACTATTTAATAAATACTTTATGTAAATATTTAATTTTATTGTATGTAATACATAGTAAATTTATTATTACTGAAAATATGAGTAAAATTATATGATAATATGATCAAATGAAAATACTTGGGGTAGCGCTAGATAAGATAATAAGAAGATCAAAACAAGTAAAAAGAAAAAGAAAAAAAAAGACAAAGTAGAAAAAAACTATGTATTAATCTAAAAGAATCCACTCATCGGATTAATTTAGATTAAAAATAAATAAATAAAATATATTTTAACTTTTGTAAAATGAATAAATTTTGATTTTAATTTTATTAAAAAATAAAATTTGTTTTTTATCTTAAAAAAATTTGTAAACATTAATTTTAGTCATTATAAAATTAATAGTTTATATTTTTGTAAAATAAATAAATTTTGATTTTATTTTATGTAAAATATTTTTTTTTTATTTTTATTCTTCTAAAATCACTATTTTTAAGTGTCATATACCATATGCATTGTGATACTACTAATAATTGTGTGTAGCACTTATAAAAGATCACTAAATCTTTAATTAATAAATAAGTGATTAAAATAATTACATAATAATAAAGACTAACAACAATAGCTCTTCTAATGAAAAAAGCTTTTTTGTTACAAATACTAAATCAAAACTTATTCATTTTTAATTACTAAAAACATATATAAATCAAAATAAATTAATCTTAAAATCAAGCATATTATAATTTTTGTTTCAAATTTAAATATAATAATTAAATCAAATTAATCTAAAATAATTTAATTAATTTAATTGATTCAGATAATATGATAAACACCCCATCATAAGTAAGGTTTCTTCATACGAATCAAAACGTGGATCTTATGAGAAAAGTCCAAATTTTGACACCTCCGGGCCTTGACATTCAATTTGGAAACACAGCTATTGGTCTTCTGAATTTCAGATAATGTCGTGAACTTTCCGCCATTGACATATTTTTCAAAGATTTAAAATGGTAAGCAACGTTTGTTTCATATCATAATCCTAGGATTATATTTTTCAAAGATTGAAAATGATGAGCAACGTTTGTTTCATATTATATTCCTAGGAATTATAATTTCAGAATGTTAGTTTTAGGAATATAAAAAAAATGTTTGATTCATTTTCATATTCATAGGAGTACTTTCTAAAATTTAAAATAATCAAATCTTATATATTAAATACGACCTATTATCTTGTATAAAAGTATTTTTAATAAATTTTTTTACAAGAGAATTTATATAGTAATAGAAAATAACTTCCAATATTTCTAAAAAAAAACATAACTTAATCACTCTTGAGCCTCCACTATGGGATTAGGACTCCTTTACTAATTAGAATAACACTTTTTTAGAAAATAAAAGACACTAAAAAATATTATTGTGTAACCTAACATGATAATAAAGATTCACACTTTTATATTTTCGGGATGTGTTTATCAACACTTTTTTCTAATACACTTACTCTCATTAATTAGATATTATTGAAAACTATGAAATTAGGAGAGCATGAGAAAGAGAAAGAGCCATTAAATAGGATGTGAGACACACAAAATTTAGTATTTTTCAATAAATTTATATCAATTAGACTATGTTTGAAAGAATGTGTTAAAGAGTATGTTACTTACATTTTTCTCCTTGAAATAGATAAAGATGACCTAAAACAAATGTCACCTAATAATTTATTGAGCATGACACAAACAACTCCTAGAAGTTGTGGTATTTCGCAATAATTTATTGAATGAATGAGATTAAAGCCTAAAGTGTTTTATGGATTATGAGGTTCATGTGACATCACTGTAAAGATGAAAATAATTTTTGAAGCATCATGCAATGCTTGTAAATGTTCTTACTCAAATTTTTGGAATTCCCTTTCTTTGTAATTGTAATCAAGATAAATGTGTCATTGATTGTTTGGCATGTAAATTGTTGTATAGATGTGAAACCTTCGCTATAAAGTATATTGGCCGACCCATTAAGAACAGTGAGATTCTTGAGGCTATTACACATATAGGGGTTTAAGGCCTCTAGACCTGATGGGTTAGGGGCCATATTTTATCAACCTTAAAGAGATGTTGTAGGACCAACCTTATGTGACTTAATCCATGCTATAGAGGAATCTCAAGAACATATTGAAAGTATTAATGAAACCTTAATTACTCTCATTCCCAAAGTAGACAATCTAACTCCCTTTAAGCAAATGAGGCCTATTATTAGCCTTTGCAACATTTCTTATAAGGCAATCATTAAGGTTTTAGCACATAGACTTAGTTCGTTCATAGAGGATCTCGTTTGTCCAAACCAGTGTAGCTTCATTCGCCACATGCATAATAAAAACAATATCTTCATCACATAATAGGTGATCCACTGTATGTGCATAGAGTCAAGGAAAAAAGGATGGATGGCCATAAGGATTGACTTGGAGAAGACTTATGACCGAGTCAATTGAAAATTCATTAAGGATACTCTCCAAGATATTGGGCTACCTCTATCCTTTGTAGACTTGATATGGGCCTATAACACAACTTCAAAGATGAGGATATTATGGAATGAAGAGGTGTTGGATGGTTTTGCTCCTTCTCATAGAATTCGTTAAAGCAATATCGTCATATCTATTTGT